GATGCCAGGCACTTTCATCCTCGAGCTTTTCACTCTAAACACGATGRAGGAAGGAAGCGACACCATAGCTTTATGCTATGGTTGAAGTGCTGTGTTGATCATATCTGTTCTTTGGAACTAATTCGAGATTCTTCGCATATGGTTCTCGCTGTGAGCAGCACGGCTGTGTATGCATGCGTATGGTCAGACCTCGTTCTGACTCTGCTGTTTTCTCATCTCATCGTCCCTCCTCGGGAAAATCACAGTGGTGGAAGACGAAGACTACAGAACTTATCAGCCGGGAACAGCGTTGTAGGATTTGGAGTTTGACCCGGCTGAGTGGGCATGGAAAACAAGAGCACTACCAACGGGGGCACAGAAACGTACCAACATCCTAGACTACTCGCCTAGTTTCGGCTATAAACTCAGACGTAATCCGGTGAACAGAGAGCTCATCTTGTCCCAGCGATGGGAGAAATATATTCCGGGGTACCTAGGCAACGCAGAGAAGCTTGACTACCCGGCTGAGTGGGCATGGAAAACAAGAGCACTAACAACGGGGGCACAGAAACGTACCAACATCCTAGACTACTCGACCAGTTTCGGCTATAAACTCAGACGTAATCCGGTGAACAAAGAGCTCACCTTGTCCCAGCGATGGGAGAAATATATTCCAGGGTACCTAGGCAACACAGAGAAGCTTGACTGGCAGGTCCCCCTCGCCATCAAAAACACTCGCATAAGAAGCATGCAATGGCTTATATAATATATACTATCAGGCCTTGCCGGTCAACACATGACTCAGCAGGAGAAGGTCAGAAACAGCTAGAAGAGACTTTGACGACAGCTGCGCAATCTGCGATGATGGATCCCTAGAGGGCGTGCCACATTGTCTAATAAACTGTCCTAATGCACAAAGGATTTGGAACAAAACGCGGGCGTACTGGTCGGAGCTAGTCAGCACATCGCTACCAGACAACCTACTGACACTCCTGACGAGTTTGGCACAACCAAGTTTCAGAGAAGTCTGGCATTCCACCCTCTTCAGAAGAATTCACCCTTTTTTTCTTTAAAAAAAAAAAAAAAGGGTTGTAGAGGTGTCGGGAATTCAGCAGTGATCGGGGAGCTGACGGGAGGCTGCACGCACCGGGTTCAGCCAGCTCGTCGGCSTGGTGGCCTCACAGAACTCGCTCAAGACTAGGCTCAAGAGGGATAGAGGAAGCCACCTCAACCATACTCACACTCGCCCTGCCTACATTGTGGATAATATGGAAGACTCRATGCAAACAAACAATAGCATGCCAAAATACATCTACCCGGGAGGCCTGGGAGAACGTTCTACGACTTCTACACACGGAATACCAGGCAGATTGCCGTCGAGCAAACAAGAATATCAAGGATGACCCCACAAAAAAGCAAATAATCATAGACAAATTCATCAAGGACAAGCTCGGAATGGGCAAACTACAGTCTTCCCCCGAATACAACGTACGGTCATTATAGCTGAATTTGGTGGATCTTTCGGTCTAAA